CAGCAAGTAATATTTGGAATCAAACATTGTGTTTGTGTGTACTATGATGGTATGCTGTACTTTGCGGATCGTCTGTACGTACCACCGATACCAACCTTGCGTGCCAAGGTCCTTGACACTTGCCACGACTGTACTTGTAGTTTATAACATTTCAGCCGGCGGACCGCCGGTATCGCACGGTTTCGCGGCGAATGCCAGGCTCCGTCGCACGGTCGGACCGGTCACCTCAATTTACCGTCGCTTTTCAGTTGCGCGAGAGGACCTTGAGCCTGGCCCTGTTTTTTCGACGCGAAGTTCCTTGTCGGTCCAGCTCCTGAGATATTGAGGAATTTCCATCCAGGTCGGATGCCCCGAGGTCGGTTATTTGGGACTTTTAAAGCAGAAGCTTGAGAATGGTTTTCGACTTAACCCAACCGAGGCTAATAAGCTATACATGCCATCCTTTACCGCATCGTGGTTTTAGGGTTCCACTGCATCCCGAGTCCAGCCTTGGTGGGCTGCAGCCTGTAACCTATCTGACCTATTACCGTACTGCCCCCTAGCTGAGCCTTACAAGTTTAGCACAAGTTTGCCATTGCATAGCTTCACTGATCTTCCATGGCGCCTTTTTGGCAGACCCTTGAGCTGCCTTGAGCACTGGACACAGCTGCACAGCTGGCTACAGCCCCAGCTGGCTACAGCCCCGCTACAGCACTGGACACAGCTGCACTGCTGATGCCAGCATTGCTCAGGTAAGGAGCTTTCTGCTTAGAAGGCATGGATACGCTCAAGGCAGTCTTTTGAATTCATCAGAAGCAAGGAAGTTTAGGAAGCTGAGCTCTTTGGCTCTTTGATATGAGTTGCTCAGGGCCTGAAATCGAGGCAGTATCCAGCTAAGATGTCATGTCAAGATGCTCTCGGAAGAGTTCAGCACGAGCTTGTGGTAAGTTATGCAGCGTCGGCACGCAGCTTTGATTTGAACAATCTTTGTACAGCTGGGCCTTGCTTAGTCATAGCATGTGGTCTACCAAGGATGGAGCACAGCATTGGTGCAAACTCATGGACCAATGCTGTCCTCTATCAGAACTTTTTGCTGGGTCTGGTCAGAAAAGAATGCAAGGAAGCCAAGTCTCGAAAACAAGCTTATCAACAAGCTCTATGGTTGCCCTTTCTGCGTCCTTCTGCAAATGCAGATTGGTTATAGGCCTCAGGCTAAGTCAGCAGTATATGCATCTCTTGTTTCAAATCAGGAAAAGAGATGCCTTCCTTGCAAGAGTAGAGGTCGTTGTGAAGTTTGCAGCAACAGTTTCGGCAGAACTACAGATGTCCAACCGACGTTGAGTCGATTGTCAGTCTTTTTATGGTCTTTCAGAAGACGTTGTGTACTAGTAGAGCTTTCAGGGCTAGATTCAGCTTGTCCAACTTCGAGAATCATCCAAGGTTATGGAGGGGATATGGTTGTTCCTTTTCGAAGCTCGTTATTCAAATGGAGCGGATACAGAGTACCGTGTGAGCTTGAGCAGTCCTCCAAATAATAACCGCAATGATCTGGCCTTTCATCAACTGCCACTCAATCATCTCTTGAGCTCATCTTTTGAGCCGACTGCATATTAAGTCTTTCGAGCAAGAGCAGGTTCAATCTGCTTTATTGTGCAGATCAGTCTAACCTTTGTTAACATTTATATCATAACCTGCAGGATGCAATTTCTTGGGAGTTCCTCTCTCGGAGTTCGTCCAAGCCCGCCGCTTCGAAGACAATTTGTGACACGGGGCACGAGTACTGAGCCTTGAAGAACCCAGCAGCGGAGTTCATCTCATCGCCATACGGTGAGGGAAGACTTATTCGCTTGGAAGCGTAGGCTTGGGCTGTTGTTGCAAGGATCCTGCCAGCTTAGTTCCTTTGACGTACAGCCAGGCTGTCAGCTTACGTTTTCATACGTTGAATCTAGTCTCTTGTGAACAGTCTGACGTCGCCGTCCTCGCGGAAAGGCGGTAATCTTATCCTAGTTGGAATCTTGACATCCTGATGTCTGTGCTTGTCTTTATTCAGAATGAAGAAACGGACTGTGAAACTTTCGAAGAAACTTATACAATTGACTCGTAGATAGAAAGCACGCATCGAAACGGACATCGGTTCACTGTTGATGGGACCTGACCGCCCTACAATCTGCTCCTTGAAGTTCTCGGAAGTCGTGCAGGTCGTTCCATTCCACTCTAGAAAGTTGAAGTTCTGTCTTGCAACCGGGGTCAGGTCGAAAAAACTTGTGGAGTAGTAGTGGAGGATGGTCGGGCCCGAAAAGAACACAGAATGCCATATCAATGGCGGTTCAAGTAGGGACTTTGAAGTTACTTCGCTTCTCCCACTGTCTCATCCCAACACATTTCCATGGACAGCCTGCAGGTGTCTCGGCCAGCCTGAGGGGGGGCATATAGAACCCGGCCAACACCGGAGGGGGCCCACTGAACCGCGCAAGCATGAGATCCGAAGGCTGTTGTCCCTGCGACGATGGTGGTAAATCTTGGGAGAGAACTTTCGGGCAGAACTATTAGCCAAGATCTTCGGAATACAAGGTTCTGAGCACGCCTTTGGTCAGGTCTAAGGTGCATGAACCGTGTTCTGGTATTCACGCCAACTGGCAATCGCGCGGCCACCATCGTATCACGCCGCCGCGCACAGTAGTAAGCTTGTCTACCACTGTGAATCTTTAGTAGCCTACAGAATTTTGTCAGCTCAAAGGACGATCTCGACTAGCTCAATTGTTGCAACAGACGGACGCATTCAATTGTGCGATCACTAAAAGTTCGTATGATTGCAATGGATATATGCGCGTCATATGCAGCCGGCGCGGCGGCCTTGTGACTTAGGGCTTACATATTTAGCATGCACTGCTGAGTCTCTCAGTCATGCCAATGCAAATCACGCGGATCGCAACTCCCGTACGTCTAGCCAATCAGATTCTAATGTGACACGGATAAATAGTACCTCCGATCAGTACGTAGGCGTAGTGTGACGTTGCTGCGTTTGCTGGCATGAGCGCCCGTTCAGATGATTGTTTTCGAAGTTCACGTTTAACATGCGCAATGATTGCATGCATACCTACCTGCACTGAGAACATATCGAACAGTTTTGCCAACGTCAAGCATGTACGTGACGCGCGTATATAGTGACAACACATGCATCAATCCGGAGTGGTTCAAAATAGCCATACAGCATATGCGTTCATGCTTGTGTCGATCCTGCGGCAAAGTACTGCGCTAATCTGCTTGCAATATGCCAGTACTCACAACTTGAACAGCCAGCAATTGCAGTCTACTTCTCGTTCCCCAACTCGTACTTGAAGTTACTGCAAACCTAGCTATGTGAACTCGTCAATTAGGCGATGGACTTCTTGCGTTTCCTATTTGACTCCGACTGACCTGTTCTTTTCCGCTTTCCTTTTTGCCTGGCCGGTTCGTCTTGTTCATCAGAATTGCCAGCTTTTGACTCTCGAAGCAACTCACAATATTCCCATGGCTGCGCCGGATCTATGCCACATGCAATCATGCTATTCTCAACGGCCTGTACTGCTGCCGCCTCGCCTACATTGCCCTGCCTCAACACAATTTCGACCAGACTTGTAATCTTCCGGAATTTTGAGAGACGTTTGCTTTCGTTTTCCCGCCCTCTTCTCCAGCGAGTACCCCACAGCTCCTCCATACGTCTCAAAGACAAGGGGTACCCTTTTTGTCCGTATGCCCATTCTTGCCAAATTTCTGCAACCGAGGTGTAGTGTCTCCCAATCATATAACTCAAAGCCCACTCGGGGACCACCGAAGCATCTTCCATTATCCCCTCATCGGCTGCCCCTAAACCGCCACTCCTCGAGCCACTTGGGCTAACCCCGACAACCCCGACGGCGACATCGCCTTGACTTGCTGTCGGACAGCTTCTAAAAGTACCCGCTTCCTCCCCGTCGTCTTTTCCGTTGTTTCCTTCCGAACAAGGTTGCGAAGTTGTCCCACTCTCCCCGCCTGCCTCACTCTCCACTTCTCCTGTTTTATCGCCCTCCGAACGGTTTTCACTTTCTTTCGCCCCTTCCTCCTCCGACTGAGGCTGCCGGCAGCCCTCCCCGGTCGCTTCTTCCGTTTCCATTTCACCTTCCAGAAAGCTCGTCACGTTCTGACTGCCGTTTGCCGGCTCGAAAGCCCCAGACTCGAGCCCTTCACGCAAACCTGATCAGTGCAGAGAACAACGTCAAATTCACTTAAAGCATACGGACTCTAGTATAAAGACGTTTGAAGGACCCATTCATTGATTGACAAGAATATAAGGCTTACTGATAACTGGAAGAATGTTCCTTAATACCTCAAGGAAAGTCGATGAGATTTCAGGACCTTCGAACCTCAATGTTTGAAGAATATGTGTTCCTACTGTAGACCTGTTAAGATGCCGACTTATCCTGGTGGACTATGTTGGGCGGAACCTCTGTCGTATGCGAACTGGAAACTCCGATGAAGATGCAAAGGCTTCTCGATCACTTAACGACAGTGATTGAGCGAAAGATGAGTCTCAATCAACAAATGCAACGCTCAGCAACATCTGCAAACTTTGAAGTTTTTACAAGTGACACCAACTTGTAAGTCTCGTTGCAAACCCACGGCGATCAATATCACTACTGCGTGCTTCAGATTCCCAATTACCTGTCTCAGGCTGAACGGTCTCCTGGGCGGTTGTCCGAGGGGCACGTGCCTCGTTCTCGTCCTGGCCGCTTAGCGCGTCCGGATCTTGGGTGGCGGCCGCGTCAGCTGCCGCTTGCGCGGCAGCAGCCTTAGCTGCTTCGGCAGCGGCTCTGAGGACCGCCTCAGCCGCGGCCGCAACAGGAGCGGAGGAAGGACGGACAACCGAGTCGACACCTGGAGACAATCATGGTGAAATCTAACTTAGCTCCGTCAGAAGCGCTAAGGCGCTTGACTGTCGGCCCGTTCTTGTACCTGAATGCGAAGGAACCCCTTGCTTCGCAGTAAAGGTCACAAGCGACTCAGTTTCAGATCAAATATGAAAGGGGTTGAGAACGAGCTGTGATTCATTGAGACATCTTTGGAACCTGAATTCGCTTGCAATAAGGCAGTCCGCACTTTGACACCTTATAAGAGGTGCTCCAGAGCGACTCTCGAGATTAACAGCAATTGACACCGTTTGACGCAATCTAGGCCCTAGACAGTGCCTGATCCGGACCAAGAAGATTAATGTTTTCGGTGTTTGCAGAGCCCGGCCTCTCACCCGCCGCTTCGCGCCCCTCGTCGCTCGCCTGACCGCTCTCATTCGGATCCGAAGCAGTGGCCTGTTCAATGTCGGCTTGTGTTGCTGCCGCTCGTGCGGCCTCAGCAACAGCTCGAAGAGCAGCTTCCGCAGCGGCCGCGACAGGCGCCGACGGAGGGCGGGCAAAAAACCCTATGGCGGTCCGCCGTGGCTCCGGGGCTGCTGGCGATTGGGCAGCGGCCTTGGCCGACCGGGCACGTGTCGGTGCCTGGCTGTCAACCCCAGGAAACGCTGACACAAGCCGCTCGAGCACGTGCAGCACGGCGGACATCTGGCTCTGCAGGGCTTGCTCGCGCTCCCTCGAGGCTTGGCTCTCTCGCTCGATACGCGCGAGCTGGACCTGTTGGTCTTGCAAAACGGCAACCAACTGCACCCACGAGCCGGTTTCAAAGGCGGAAGGAAAGCTGGCTCTTGCTATTTATTAGACACCCCTCCCGACGGAAAAGCATTTCAGTGTCTTCAAATTATGCGAGAAGTGACCTGCCCAATACAGCTTGAGCTGTTTCGCTTGTTATCTTGTGAACTACTTTTCTGAGAAGCATCTGCCCTCATCACAAGCTAAGGGCGTGGTGACCTTGAAAGTCAAACCTACGGATCCATGGACCAGTGTTTGTGTTCATCAGGACAAAAGCTTGACAGAATGTTCTGCCGTTCATCTGAGCCTGTCCGCATGAACTAATTGTGGATCCTGCTGTCCCTCGAATTGTCGCAGCAAATGTTTTTCAGTTCGAAGTGGCTTCCTTCCCGACAGACAGCGGCGGGCTGCACAAACGTAGTCGCTTGAGTTCATATACAATCAACCCTACTAATACAGGCTCGTGCCCTGTTCGACATCATCAACGGAGTCCTCTAGCACGTGACGTCCTCAATAGTGAGGATCTCGGGCCGTGTCCTTCCTTACCTCAGGGGGAATGTTCGCGAGCTCCGGAGGAGGAGCAGGCTTGTTGCACACCTCTGCCACAGCGCCGCAAAACTTTTCCCATTCCTCTCCGTCGAAGAAGTGGTGGTAACTGATGGGATGGTTCTCGTACTTGCCCATCCGTTGAAGGAGTGCCACGTCTTGCAGCAGCACCGCCCGCAGCGCAATGAGCAGCTCCAGCAACTTCTGCGCAGCGATGTCGCACTGGCCGGCTGGTCCCGTCAGATTCCTCTGCACAAAGGAAAAGCCTTTTTTTCCCAACACTGCGGCTGCTACAAGAGATCCTGATGAAAGCGGCAACGGTAACAAGCAGAGCAAGCGGCGTGCTTGCAGAGTAGAAACAGTCGTCTCCGAAGTCAAGATGCTGGACAGGTGTTCAAGCAGTGTAAGAAGTATACCTGCTTCACCTTCCGCAGTTCCTCGTCGGCCATGGAAAGATCTGGTTCGCAAGCCCTGGGTACTCGTCCTCGGAGGGGAGCACCCGACCACGTGGCAGGAAGTACCCCTTGCGATCGTCCTTGAACCCCGCCTGAACTAGCATGATCCCAACTGGAAGCTGATGCAGGTACGAAGTCCGAAAGTGGTCGTAGATCCAACGGCCGAGCCGAGCACTCTCAACTTCTTTGCCGCTGCACAAAAGATACGGAGATGATTAGTAATCTTTGGTTGAGAGCCCTGTAATTAATGCCTTCCCGAGATCATCTCGGCGGGACCCCACACATCATTGCAGACTTGTGGTGTCAGTCATGCTCGAAGGGTTGGCTTTGGCTGACGAGAAGCACGCCCTCAAGAACTCATTTGGACTGACGACCTTGCACTCTCGACACTTCTCTGCCCGTGCATCCAGAGCAACACGCAAGTGCGTTCGGATAACGGGTTGTGGCAGCTTGAGCTTGGAATTGACAATCTGACGAGGAAACATTTTTCTCGAAGGGTCCCGAATAGTGTGAATGCTCACCCGTTATTCTCAGCATGCCGCACTGATGCGCCGCGCGGCGCATGAGTAAGCTTGCTGGATACAATCTCCTGCTCGCGGTACGCCTGCTTGAAGTGCTTGAGCTGCGTATTGTACGTGACGTTCCTGCTGACGTCATCATTTTCGTAGAAGAGAGGAAGCAAGTTGTACCTGCGATAAACCTCAGAACCGAGTGAGCAAACCTATGATAAAGCCCGTGCAACGGCAACCAGAAAGAGCGGGAACCCAACTCCTGAAGGATTATGCTTTATTTCTGAAGGATGATGCTTTGTCAGATTGCAAAACGTCACGGCCTACAGTCGCAACCTTGGGCCTTAAGTATCGGTCTTCGACATCAATATTCTTCTTCCAAAAGACAGAATATCATATCTACTACTTTGTACCCGGCTCGAGAAGTGTAACGAACGGGCTTTGGTTAAGTCTAACCGCACGTCGTTGCGAGAATAACCCCTGAGTTAAGCGACTACGTCAGGTTGCGACGTATGAGCACAGTATTGATGTGACGTAGTTAATGCTAGCTGATTAATTACGCCACCGAATAGTTCGTAAAGTGCAAGATAAGTATGCTGAGTCATTGATATG